CCCGAGAGTGCGGCGAGGGGTGAGCCGTGTTGCACAACAGTTGTTTCCTTTCATTTTCCATTTCCCGTGTGCGTGGTAGGATGCTCTTTCCCCGAGGAGGCTTTGTGCGGTTTAGGCTAGACCTGCCAGGTCCTCTGCCATAGGAATGCAAAAGGAGGGGGGGAAAACCCCCCCGGCTTTCCTTCATCAAGACTCTGTCCTGCCTTCACTCCTTGTGCATCGTTATGTTCCTGTCAATTCTGACTTCTCCACCGGGGACTTAAATAGTTACACCACAAGTTCCTGGCTTGCTTGGCATGGCATGTATACAGTCCTTTGCTTACAGCTATTGCTTTAGGCTATGTGACCTGCTGGTGGAAAGTTAAAACAGCATTCCAGTTTTAATTTGTGTTCTGTTTTGCTTTATTTTTTTATATTGCCTTCATATGGCAGTGTTTTCTAACTTTGTCATGATGATTTGACTTAGGAAAAATCAATGTCAGTATCTACAAATGTTTCTTGCAGTGCTGCGAAGTCAAGAATAGTACTAGTGCCAGCCAGGAAATTGGAAGTATCCAGAGGCAAGGCTAGGCTTAGTATATACTGTGTCTGCTGTGAAGGAATAGCCTTGATACACTATGACCCGTGAATAGAAACCATTGCTGTGTGTGCTGGTGGTCTTCCTCCCCGCCCCCGACTTTCAAGCACAATGCAGCTCTACTGGCAGGATGGTGCTGCTACCTATCTCTGCCTGTGAGAGTGCAGCTAGGAGCACAGCTGTTGCTGGCACCCATTAGGACATGTTTCCAGTGTAGTAAAATATGTGAAAGTGGCTGCATTAAAAAAAAAAAAAAAAAAAGGCAAATACTGAACTAGATTTTGTAGACTGATCCTCACGTGACCTGCTCTGTAGCTCTCTGCATTTGTGAACTAAGGCATGTTTTAACACATAGCAGCTTTCATTAAGTAATTCCTTCTCCAGGCAAGTTCTGCTAAAACATACATGTTTGTTCTTTGGGACTGCTTGAAGTATGTAAAATTCACTGTATGTGATAACCTTTTTTGGATACATATCTGAAAGGTCTTTGAATAAGGACCCTGGGTTTTTTTTTTTTTTTTTTTTAAATCAGATAAGCTAAACATTGTTACATGTTGTGTCATTCACTCCTGGAGGGACTGTGCAACAAGAGCTAACCAGATATTTAAGTAACAGTATAGCGTACAGTAATGCAGCACTGTAAATCTCATTCCTCTGTTTATCAGTCCTACAGGAATAATTGGAGTACCCAAAATAGTGGATTGTTTACAGTGTCTTTCTTTTTGGCCCTGGAATTAAGTTAAGAGGATATAATCTGTCACCAGTGATGATAATTTTGGCTTGTCTTTTTAGGATAAATGAAGAAGCATACTTGATTTAGTTACTTTATTTCCAGTAGGAAATTAAGTTTTATTAGAAGTAAAAATACTTGCAAGAAGGGCAGACTTCAAAAAACATATGGCTGCTTGGTGGGAATCTAAGCAGAAACAAAAAGAATCGTTTTTCCCCTGCCTTCAAGGGTCTCAGGCTGGCTTTGCTTTAATTGAATCTAGATGCTGGCATTTTTATCTGTTCACGTACTACTAATAAAGAATGCTATAGTTTGTATGCATTTTTCCACTCCTGTAACAACTGTAAGAGTTTTATTTGCTGTGTCAGGAAGTGTGTTGTAGTCCTACTCCTCTAGTAATTTTGGTTTTGTTAATTTTTTTAAAAGATTACCTAAAGTGTGCTGAGTGTAGGGGTTTTTTTGGGCTTGGACATTGAAGTTTGAGCACTTCAGAAAACTGGAGGAGGATACTTGCAATGTACTGCCTTATAATGTTTGTTTTGTGGTTTCATCAGTTGCAATAGCAATACCAGTGTGTTTCATCCAAGAAACTTTGGGTGCTTTTTATGGTCATGAATTTAGTGTTGATATATAAATGTGAGACAGTACTAGGAGCCTCATTTTGTGCTATTTCGGAAAAGTGTGTAATAAAGTCTTTAAAACTTTAGGCATCTAATGAAAAGTTAGAATTTGGAGTGGTGTTGTATTCCTGTTCTGTTTGTACAGTAGTCTTTTTTATATACTGTTTCATGAGATACCCTAAACACCAGTTCTTTTCACAGTGCAAGTAAAAGTCTGGAGGCTTGCTTGCAGATTGCTGATCCAGGATTTTGTTAGTGAATGCTTGTAGTTTAGTAACTTCATAATCTCCGTGCTTTCTTTGTTCTTAAGTGTTTTTGTGTTGGCTTTACCATTTGGCATTGAATGCCAGTATAGTTCACTGACAAAATGCAGGGAGCTGTTTCAGACTTGCTGGGTCTTGTTGTGTTCCAATTTCAAATATTTTGCTCTTTTTTTAAACTTCAGTTATTGGCATTGTCAACATTGATTTGATCTTTTTTCTCTTTTCCTGAAATTACAGCTCTGTTTGCTCTTACTTTGTGGGTGAGAGGTTGCTGGGGTTTTAAGCGAGCATGTTTACAATATGATGTTTCAAGACTCCAATTCCCTCTGCTTCTTCTACTGTTGCTGCTTCCACTATTTGTTTTTAGTACGAGAGCCATCTTTCCCTGAGGGTAGGAATCAAACATCTTATGAATCATTGCTTTCCACTCATATTGGCCAGAGACACTGTCATAGTAGCAATGATGATTTGTCATACCTTGCACAGGATGATTTGTTTTGGAAAGCTAAAGGGGTAGATCTGTTACAATGCACAGAACTGTATAAACTACTACAAATGCCTCTACTGCTGGGATGATACGCTGCTGTGCAATTTGGTTCCTGTGCAAAGTAAACTAAGACGGTGACTGACCTGAAATGTCATGTAAAGGGGCAGGATGTTTTTACAAATTCTTTCAATAATAGTAAAACAGAAGATAGTTTTGAAGTACAGGCTTCGGATCTGTAGAGATCTGAATCTCTTTGTCATTCCTAGAGGTTAGTAATACTGCATACGGACAATAAAAATGTTGTTTGTGTAAATTATCTGAACAAGTTGCAGGTTCTTGTTTTTCTTCCTCTTTTTAGTCAGGAGTGGAAACTAGTGTATTTTTATTTCTGCAAATAGTCCCATGAGGTTAGAGTTCAGGTATGTTAGAAAGGGAAAACTTTGGTGGGGAGCACAGTTGCTGTGACTGTGTTACCAGTGAAGACTCCTTTCACACTTCACAAGTGACTTGCTTGGAGACCTGAGGGTAAGTGTCTAGTTTCTTGACAGCTTGGGGACAGTTTTTGGGTTTGAGCTTGAAGGGTGATGAATCAGCCCTGGCAGTCCCAGGTTGTGCCTGGGTGGGTATTTAAAACAAACAAACAAACAAAAACCAAAACACCCCAAAAGTATTCAAACCAGGTGGAGTCTCTGGCTCATACTTTTTTGTCATCGCAGAAACTGAATGGATCTGGCTTGAGGCAGCAAGTCAAACTGGTACAAAGAGCACTTCCTCTCTTTTTGTCCTCCAGACTGGGTCTGGTGCAGATAGGGAATGTGTTTGCAGACTTTCCCCCCTGCCCTTCCCTGAACTTTTAACATTCAAAGAAGCTGTGTATGTTTAACCACTTTAAGGAAAAAAAAAAAAGGCGGGGGGGGGGCTTGAAAAGGCTTGTCTGCCATTTTAATCTGGAGATAGAGACCTATCTGGATGGCCTTAATACAGAAGGTTAGTATGTGTGTTTGGCACTTGATCCTAAAGTTCAAGTCCAGCCACACAAAGGATATTTTTGTATACTCAGCAAAAAAGTCCCTTTAGGGCTGGGAAAACATATGTGGTAGGCACCTGTATGTATTTTGCTTATTTTGTCTACTGTGTTAAACAATAAAATATAAAGGGAAGATTTGAAACATGATCAGCAGGGAAGATTTCTACTACTTGGGAAGATTTCTTCTTCAAACACTGTCTGGACCTGAGGCAGTGTCTGTGTAAAATCCCGTTGTGCTGCAGTGGAAAATAACTAAAGGCCTGATCCAGAATATGTAGTGACAGGCAAGGGATGGAGTTAATAGTACGTGATCTCTCCCTTGTCTTATCTATCAGCAGCTAACATGAAAGCTTTGATGTCCTTAATTCATGTCTTATAGAACATAACACTTAAACCCTTTTGATGAGCTTTAGTGCTCAAGTTGTTGAATCAAGCTTGTCTGTACAATTAATTCTTATCCTGGAAAGATACCAAAACACAATAGTTCTTAGAACTGCAACTTTTAAGAACTTTTAAGAATTGTGGTTTTAAAACAAACATGCTAGAAGGAAGCTGTTACTTGATGGTGTTTTGTTGTCATAGAAAAGAAGGTGGCTGACCATCCTTTTGAAAGTAGTGACTACTGTTGTTGCAATAGACTGAAAAATGTTTGTGTGGTTCACTCTCTTTACACTGATAGGGTGTCACAAGTGCTTTCTGTTTACTCTCCTTGTGATGTTCTTCTTTCTGTCAAATATCTGAGCCTCTTAGTACACTTCCTGTATTTCTTTTTTGCAGTCTGTTGACTAGGAGTTAGTGGTATAAAATCATACTTTTTATTTTTGCATGTCATCTATTTCCAGGTGATCCTTCTCTCATCTCCTATGTTCTTCACAGTGTTTCTCTTCCATCATTAATTAAACTTTTCACAGGCAGACAGACAGCCTTTCATAATACTATGTTGCTATTATTTTCACACACAGAAAGGAAGAAATAAGGTGCCTTGGATAGTCTGATTTCATGTAATGAGGAGGATGACAGCTGTCACTGTCCAGTGAAAATAATGAAGCATTGAACTGATCAGATTCTTTTTTTAAATGTTTTTCTTGCAGGAAGCAAAACCTTCAGCTGAGGACTTAGGAGATAAGAAAGAAGGGGAATACATTAAACTCAAAGTCATTGGGCAGGTGAGTTTTTACATAATTACTTCTTGATATTTGGTGGAGATATGAGTTTTTGTGTTGTAGAAATGAACAAATGAAAGTTGATACTTTCAGTTCTTCAGTGTGGATCCTCCCCTGCCATAAAGTACTTACCAGTTGCCAGTAATGTGTGTTAGTATGTGTGTTAGTAACTCTCCAGTGTGTTTGGTGTTTTTTTAAAAGCTTGAGTAATTTATCCTTATGACTTAGGATTTAGTCAGTGTGGTCCCCATCTTACAACTAGGGGACCTGATGCCTTGAGGGATTAATTTATCGAAGAATATGAATGAAACACAGCAAAATTGATAAATTCAGGTCTTCAGAGTTCATGTACACTAAGCATGAGGTCAGCTTTCTTGAACAGGGATAGGAGGAGGATTCTGTTGGCTGGCATGCTGGTAGATGTGAATGGTGGATTATAAGTCTGAATTCAAGTTGTGTTGGAATGTGAATGTCGAGATCCTTCTTGAACAGAAGTCCTTCTGTGCAAAGAACCCCTCGCCCATATGACTTAACTCAGTATTGTTTGCTGGAGTATTAGCGCGATTGCTGTGCTGTTTACTGGAGACAGATGACTTAAAGTAGGACTAACACAAACTAGCTTACCTCTTGCTGGTTTCATCAGCAATGGACGAGAAAGCATTCAAAAGCTAAATGTGACTCATGTTTTTTGCACAGAACTTCTTGCAGTCTGTTTTATCTGTAGCCATTTTGACAGTTGTAGTTGCTTGTATCTTATGGCTGGTAGGAAGGAATATAGAATAATGAGACCTAAGATTTCTGCTTAGGTTAGTGTTGTGTTGCCAAGTCTGCCTGTATCCTAACTTATAGATAATTATTGTAATTGAATGAGGTTTTGTATATATTTTGAAGTGCAAGCTTTAACTTGCCTCTCTTGGAATCTTAGAGCAGAAGTCCCTGCATAAGTATGTTTGTATTTCATAAGTACATCAGCTGGGTAAAGACGGAAGCACAGGCTGAACCATGTATGGTATTTAGTACTTTTAAATCCAAAACCTCCATAGCGAGCCTAAGGCTATACTATGCTATCGTTTTAAAATAGAGCTTTCTGTGGAAGTGCATGATGAATTTAGCAACTGATAAATCATCCTGGAGGTTCATGTTATGATGCACCAAGGTATGCATGGTGATAGTTCAACTGCATTCCATGTTAGTTTTGCGTAAGTTTTTCTTAATGAAAGTCTTAAAATTAGCACAGGTAAGTAAGCAGTTACTACAAAGAGAGTCACTTCTTTTCTTTTCTGTTCTTAGGACAGCAGTGAAATTCACTTCAAGGTGAAAATGACAACACACCTCAAGAAACTCAAAGAATCATACTGTCAAAGACAGGTTTGTGAAACAATGACACTCTTTCTTTAAGGAGAGAATTAAAAAGCCAAACACTTCAGCTTTACTTTTGTCACTGTTCTTTCAAATAAAGACATTTGTTGAGACAGTCAAGCTTCTGTCCAGTTACCAGCAGGACAGGTATCTTGACAGTACAAATGTAATGGATCTCCTCATTTCTTTTGACAGGTAAAGGTATTTCTATTTAAGCCAGTAGTGAATTTTGTAGTTAGTTAAAATTACTGTTTGAAAATACATAGCAGTTGCTCAGAAGACATAGAAGTTACCTTTTAAAATGCCCAGGCATGCATTTATAGTTACTGTAAAATCTCCTGTCTCTAAGCAAAATTCCCTTAAAACTGTAGAATACTGCAGCTTAGGATGAGAGCAGCCTTAGGCATTGTTACAGCCATTAATACGGTAATCGATTAACACTAGCTATTATGCCCTAAGTTAAAGAAATCTGCAACATTAATTGTGGACGCAGGTAAATAGTAAATACTGTTATAGAACAAAAATAATCTTCACTTCCAGATTCTGTGGCAGATATTGTGGATTCACTGCTGCTATTTCCAGAAGCCCTGGCCTAGTTTACTCCCAGCTTTGGGAATAGGTGCCTTGTGTGGCCTTTTCTTGAGTAACTGTGTTGGAGTTCACTTCAGGAGATATAATCATACAAAATTTGGGTTTTTTCTTAATACCTTGAGACAAGTTGAACTTGTCAATTGAAATGTTCTTTTGTAGAATGTGTTCTTTTTTCCTGGAGGAAAGAAAAGATCAAATACCAGATAGATTTATAGCCAAATCCAAATGATTAAAATTATGATTCATTTGAAAAACTTGAAATTTTAAAATAAGATCTTAGAAATAATTCATGCAGTGGTTTTATTGACTGATCAAAATGCATGTGTGGAATTCTTTTTTTTTAAGAAGGAAATAATTGTTTGAATGAACACAGCTATCTCCTGGGCTGAATTGTGGAGAGTCTGTGATTTCCTTCATCAGCAGTCAGTATGGGTTTTGGTGTCAAGTAGCCTTTCTCTGGTAAAGGGACCATGAACATTTCTTCCAAGTTGGCCAGGGGGATTGTTGGAACAATGTGAAGAGCTGGCCTTTCCTGTGAATTTTTCTGCCTACTTATTTGCAAGCAGTATTTCTGAGATCTAACCGATGCACAGAACAGGTCATATTTCACTTGCGTTTGTTTTGCTCATAACTTGAAAGAGAAGAAAAAGATGAAGTGTTCACCTCGTCTGTTGAGGTGAAGTATGATATTCTGCTGTAACACAGGCACACTGTACAATAGACGTACTGCAACTTAATTTACCATTGGGGTGCTCCTTTCTCCCTGTTTGAATGGTGTTCCTTTTCTTCCCCCTCAGCTCTGCTCTTTCTTGTCCCCAGTGTAGAGCTTTTGCAGAACTGATAACGGTAAAGGTTGTTATTCCTTCTTGCAGTGATATAAGATTGGGAAAGCAAGGGTAAGGTTCATGAAGTAAACATCATGTTCCTCCCGTTGTCTTAGGATCTTTAATAAGGCTGGTATGGAATTCAGAAAAAGACAGGACCTTCATGTGTAATGTTGTCTTGGAAGGGAGGGTGTAGTCCGTACTTTATTTACAAATTAAAAAAGACAAGAAAAAAAAAAAGCTAAGGAAACTTCCAAGTTGTTGAGCTAGAACTCCAGTGAGACTTTGGAATAAACACACATTTCAGCACTATCAAGCTCCTCGAGTCATTTCTTTGTAGTCTACGTGGTTGCAACAGAATAGCAGAGCTCCTTGTGTAACAGGAACTAATACTTTCTTTTTTGACTTTCACGTGTATTGTTTTTATAAAAATGTTTTTCTTGTAAATCAGTACAAGTTCCAGTAAGTTTTCTTGTACATCTGTTTCTTTTTTTAGGGTGTTCCAATGAATTCACTCAGGTTCCTCTTCGAGGGTCAGAGAATTACTGATAATCATACCCCCAAGGAGGTGAGTTTCTAGAAAAAGTGTTACATAGTTCGCTGGAGAAACTAAATACCAAATCGGTTAGTTTCTCTGTTCTGCTAGACTGTTAACCAAAATGAAGGTGTTTCTTTAAATATAGCCAACTTTTTGGACTATATTTAGTCAAATATAGCCTGACTATATTTGTGTAACTAGAATCTTTAATACGGCTGATATGCAGTTCAGAAAGAGACTGATTGGACCTTCATGTGTAGTGTTGTCTCAGAAGGAGGGTGTAGTCACTGCTTACCAGAGACAAAAAAAATTAAGGGAACTTCCCAGTTGTTGAGCTAGAACTTCAGTGTGACTTTGGAATAAGTAGATACTTAGTTCACATTTATTAGATGAAAGTGTAAATAAACAGAAAACAGGTTACTTCCACCAATTGTTACGACAAAGCAGGAAGAAACACTGTTACAATAATGACCTTCTGAAAAATCAGACAAACTTGTGTACTGTGAAATCGAACAAGTTACCCTCTTTAGGGGAACAGTTGTAAACTAGACTTGCATTGCAAACTGTAGGTCTTAGCTGTATTGTGAGCTAGTAGTGTGCTATATATAATTCACGTGGCTGTACAGCTGGTGCATTCACTATGATGTTGGTTATGTTCCTGTGCATCTGTTGCCCAAGAAGGAATTTAGAGAAAGGTGAAGCTAGCAACTTCCAGACTTACGTGTACTGCTCCACAAGCGGATTTAGACTTCACTGATAAGGCTTTTGCTTTGACTGAGATGTACAACCCTGAGGAAGAGGACTAAAAATCATGAGTGTTGGCTAGTGAGATGGTGACTGAAATTTTTTTCACCCCTTTGATGAATTGTGATGGGACAGAGGAACAAACCACTGTATAACTTGTCTAGGACCTGCTCTGAATTCAGTACACCAGATTTATAACAATTATATGCTGTTTTTCTCTGTTCTCACAGCTGGGGATGGAGGAGGAAGATGTGATTGAAGTTTATCAGGAACAGACGGGGGGTCACTCAACAGTTTAGATCCTTCTGTTTTGTTTTCTTTCCCCTTAATCCTTTTTTATTTTTAAATAATAGTTCTTTTGTAATGTGGTGTTCAACACTGAATTGAAACTGGCACCCCATCTCTGGGAGTTTATTTTCAAGCGTCTGGTATTTTGAATTCTCGTGCTCATTATACACTATTGTTTCTGTTTTCATTGTGCTGAACTTTTGTGATCCAGCTGCAGCCTTGCTCCCCTCTTCCCTTCTGCCCTCCCCTTAGAAATACATGTACACACATGCATTTGTATGTTCACTAGGTTCGTGCATTTCAGGCACGAAGGCTGTAAGATCTGCCAGGTGGGCGAGTGTTCTTAATGACTTCCATATCTGCCCTGAAGTTTTGATGTGTGACTGTTTCACTCCTGGACTATAACTTTCAGTGCGAGATGAAGTTTTTCAGAGAACTAAACTGTGGAGAAATTGTGTATCCATAACTCAGAGCTATTTTGCTTAAATTGTGCTGATGGCCCGATGAAGAAGATTACCAAGTTGGAAATGGAAAAGCTAGAACTGTTGTCATCTGTACCTTGCTCCAGAGATGGCTTTGCTGAAGACAAAATTGAAAACTCTAATGATTCTTAAGTCTTGTCAGAAGAGCCCAGAAGCATTTTAACTTCATATAGCAATTAGTACATGCAGGTATTCATGCAAGAATGTTCACAGCAGAGACAACTGGTGTTACTTTGACACTGTTGTTTGTACCTTTTAGCCTGGGACGTGGGTTTTGAATGGACACTGTCTGTACTGGCTTCATTTAAAATAAACAAGAAAAACAATTTTATAACCAACTTGCATTTTCTTTTCAAATGTTTGGAAATGAGCAAAACCATAAAAAGTTATAATTAGGGCATGCTTTTCCAGTAACTATATGCTGAAGCCAGAAAAAAATGTGCTCTGTAAATATACCTCATTTAAAAAAAAAAAAAATTTACTTTTTTCTACTTGCCCTAGTAAAATACTTGATCTGCTTGGTTTGCAGGTGACTATTTGAGACTACTAGCTGTTTCTTTTCTTGTTAAGAGAATATTCACATACAGTTACATACAGCTTCACTTCATGCACAAGAGGTAAACTGAAAATGCAACTTGGAAGGAAATACAAAGATGGTTTTTAATGTCTACATTTCATATGATCGTGGTACCATTAAATAATCTCTCTATGATGGATGACATGGAAGCATCATGATAGTTCTTCAGGCACCGTTATGAGGGTCCACTTCATGTTTTAGCTAGGTGCAGGTTCTAAATGGTCAGTTTGAGAACATGTTACTAGATATAAAAGCTCAGATGAGAGGTTATGGGCAGGGTAGTGTGGAGAGAAGGTTTCTGCACTGTCCCTGCTTCAGCCTTTCTGCAGATAAATAGGACGTGTTTCTGATTTGGTTTGGTAAATCAAGTTCACTGTGAATGCCAACTTCATTTGAAGACACATTTTAGTGCTGGCATACTTGGAAGAAATTGCAGATTTTGAATTATTAGTTTTTATGGCACTTGCTGTAAAGCTAGAAATGCATTTTCTTTCATGCTTGTGGTTTGTGTCCTGTTTCTGATTTAGTAATACTTTTGTAAACATAGTTGCACTAAGCAATTTTTTAAAGATTAAAATTTTTGTTTACAAAATGTCAGAATATGGGATTTTCTTGAAGTATTCTATGTAATTCAATTCTTAGGGGGAAGAGGGATTGCTACTGTGATGTAGAACAACATGGCTTCTTTGCACTTATCTCCAATTGCTTTTTTTAGAGTACTAAATATATCTGTTTCAGAATACCAGAAATAAAACAGCCTTGTGATTATTATCAGTTCATCTTCTAATTTAAATTTGTATAATGCTCTTGTTAGTAGACAAATTCCCATTATCCCTCTTCTGTAAATTAGGAACCAAGGCACAGGGAATGGTAGTTTACTCAAGTCACTCTGGAAGCTGAATGTGGAACCGAGAACGGAATCCAGATCCCCTGGGTTTGATGCTAGTACTCTAGTTGCTGCACCAACTTTCTTTGCTGCTTACTGTTCACTCTCCTCTTCTAAATCTCTTTTATATGCTCATTTATATCAGCTTTTTAGTTGAAGCGCTGCGTTCAGTTCTCTTGAGACTATGGAGGAGGGTTTCCTGCAGAATGCAGCTTCAGTAGGATGAAGCTCAAGGCGAAGATTTATTTCTGTTGTGTAACCTTGTCCTAAAATGCATCTCTTTATAGAGTGGATATGGTACCGGTGACAAACTGATTTGACCTCTTTCTCAGACTTGTGAAGCCTCAGAGAGCTAGTGCCTCAACGGAGCTGCTGGTATAAAGCAATGTCTGTACTGTTATAACTTGATGGAACAGTAATAACAGGGAAACTGTACTCTGCCTCAAAGATTAGTATTGAGAGCTTCATGTAAAATGAGAAGATACACATGCTACACAGATGCACTAGTACCCTTTTTAAGGAAGTTCCTTCTTGGAAGTTGTACATTGAAATAAAACCTGAATTTTGAAGTCGAGGTGTAGACACACTTGCGTTTTATTCATTTCTCTGGAAGAACTAATACTTTTCAAAGAATTTATTTCTGAAAAGATGGTCTGGAGTAGAATTTCTAAACCACTCATAGCTTTGAAGTACATGACTGGAAGTCAGATTAGCCTTCATATGTTGGAGAAAAACAGAGAAAACAATCTTTTTTTTCTTCCTGCAATTTTTATCTTTGTTTACATGCTTACCTGTATATTAGAAGAACATGGTTCAGCTGTTAATGGCTGGCTTTAAGTGGTTAAAAAAAAAAAAAGTGGTGGTGGGAGAATGAAACCATCTTCACTGAGTCAGTTATGCAGTGGAAGGTAGAAGCTAATGCTTCTTGCTTTATTTCCAATTGTGAAATTAATATATTTAATATTCACTATGGTGGCATATAGAAGTGGTATTGATAAGTGCTTTACAAAATTATCTGTCAACAGGTTTTCTTAAAGCTGGTGTGTTTAAAGGATTTGTGTATTCTCTTAAGTATAAATATATCTACATAATCATCAATTCAACAAAATGACCTTTTGAAGTTAAATGTGTAAATGTTGGCAGGATTTGGATTTCAGTTAGGATGTCAGATAATGCTAAAACTTTGTCTGCCACACATTTTTTACTAACCATGTATTGTTTTAGAAGCAATACAACTGTATAGTACTAACTAATGTTGCAGTCTGGGAAAATAATTTTTGAATGAGAAAAGTACCTATCCCAAAAAGGACCATTGTTCCTCTTTTGAATCACCTTGGAACCCTGAATTAGAGTGGAACTGAAAGAGCTCGCTACATGACCCGCTCCTGGCACCAAGCATGCATTTATTCTTTTGTATGGTTTCTAGGCCTAGTTTTTCAAGCAGCTGAAAATAAGAAAACACCCATGAACAAGGAACATCTTGAGTGTGTTCTAGCTTCTATTAGTAGTGCTTGTTGGAACTGCAAATGTTGTTCCAGATCTGCTCTTTGCCTGCAAACAGTGGATTGCAGACACGGGACAGAATTCCTCCTTGGGTTAGAAAGCTGGTGCTTTGACTTGAAACCTGCACACTCAGCTCGTTGCTGGTTTGCCGGCAGTTTCTTTGATTTTGCCACAGCGCATGTAGTGCCTTCTGAGGCACTGAACCTGGACAGGAGATTGGACTTCCCCCAGGAGCTGCCTTTGAGCAAGGTTTGGAATGGGCTGGGGAAGAAAATACTGGCTTATGCTAATACCTTCTTGTGGATCAGTATGTTCTCCTGTCGCAATAGTATGAATAGAGCAAGCAGGAGATGGTTATTCCTGCTTAGCTGTAGTTCCCATGTATCCTGTTATCCCTGGTACTGCTTTGTGTCTGACAAATTGATCTAGGCTTCCCTTAAGAAGGCCTGTTACACTATTTGCAGTGTTTTAGTATGTGGTATGCAGACTCCCTGTTCCTGTGTTCTGAGGTGCTGGTAGGAATGAGTTCTGGAAGCACGCTATACTGGAGTGTGCTCTGAAGGACTGTGTAAAGGTAATCAGTTTCAGATGTGCGGGGAAATCTATTTGGGCTTCTTTCTGTAGTGTAAATGGATGTTATAAACTAAAACCATTAAAGAATACAGAGCAGATGCACGTGAACTGCTGATGTGATTTGGGGAAACATTGAAAAACTGGTTAAATAGCAAAAGAACAGCATTGTGTCTGGAGTTTGAGTTGAAGGCAGCTTAACTAACTCCCGAGGTACCAATGCTGCCCTTCAATGTTAACTACACTGATAGAGCTGACTACAGAAGTATTTTTGTATAGTCTGGCACTAGGTGTAAAGATGTATTATTATTACTGAGGGGAAAAAAATAACTTCACTCTCTGATTAATAGCTATATACCTGATTAAAAGCTGTGCTTGTGTTTTGGCTTCCTCTAAAGCTAGTCTAGCATCTTCCTCTTTCTTCATCTGCTCCTGAGCATCATATATTGTCTTCTCCCAGTTTCTTCTTTCATAGTCCAGGTGCTCTTCTGCCATCTCCACCAGCTGCTGGTGTTTCTCCTCTAACCACATTGCTCCTTCTTTCTGTCTGCATTTTTCTGCCTCTTAGAAACAGATCAACAACAACTATTAGTTGTTCACATACTTCCTATTTAGGAAATGTTTTTTTCATCAGTTACAAATAGAAAGAAAATACTGTTATAATACTGACACTACAAGTATTTAATACTGTCTCAAACACATGAGTTTGTCTGAAATTGTAATTGGATTTTTAAAAAAAATCTGGTTGGCATTTAGGTTTTCAAGCCTTCCTCTGCAACTGTTTGTTAGGAGTAGAATCTCTTTAAACTGAGTAGCTACTGGGACTCACGCTTTCAGACAAGATATATAATGAAAACATCAAGAAATGAACAGATGTAGTATGAACATTATTAATGCTAGCATCTTGCACAGTTGCATCATAGCTAGGCTGTGGAATTTGTCATCTTCAGGCTGCAGGGACTGTGGAAGAGAGGACTATTGTTACCATATCTATTTAATAGAGGAGGAGCAGATGACGTGCTTCAAGTTTGGGACTCAGTGTCACAGGAATTCCATGGCATACACACAGGCTAAGTCTGTGTCTTTACCAGAAATTCAGGTGAATTATCTGCAGCTAAAGTAAGCATTAGCCATTCTATAGACCACCTGCTCCTTCTTGTTCCTCTGGCTGTCTCTTCTTCTGAAACTGCAGAAGCTTTCTGTGATAATCCTCCTGCTGCTGCCAAGTATGTTCTTGCACTGCCTTCTCTAATTGTGACTTCTTTGCTGCCTCCTCCTCCTGGCACCTCCACTCTTCTGTTTCTGTAAACTAAAGTGTAAATGCTTATTAATTGCTATAGCAACATTGGGCTTACTGAACATTCTTACCAGACAAGCAGGTTCTAGCCCAAAAAGCTAAGCAGATTGCCAAAGCGAATGGGAGAGAAATTAGAATAAAGAGATAACAGGTGCTGGTTAGTGATACTTAGCATATGTCTGGTTGGTTCTGCAAATTAGTATTAAAAAAAAAATTACTGTCTGTTTTCCTTCATACTGTCTGTAAGGGGGAAAACCCCTGAATTATAATTTTTACATGTGTGCTTTTGACAAGGACATGAGGACTATGAGATACAGGTACGTGGTTTACATGAAACAAAGATGTGGAGACAAGGGATGGAGGAGAGCACAGGGACCGCTGGGAAAGTTCTGAGAAAAAGAGCTGGAAATAAAAATTGGAATGCGTCTTTGTGGAACAAGAACCCAAACCCAGAACAAGAATGCAGGCTATGCAACAAGCAAAAGGCAATGGAAAGCCTTGGCTGA